GGAGGAGGAGGAGGAGGAGGAGGAGGCGGAGGAGGAGGAGGAGGCGGAGGCGGAGGAGGAGGGGGAAACGGAGGAGGAGGAAACGGAGGAGGACGAGGACGAGGAGGAGGAGAGGAAATGGAAGAGGAGGGAAAGGCGAAGAGGAGGAGAAGGAGGAGGAGGAGGAGAGGAAGTGGAAGGGGAGGGGGAGGCGAAGTGGAGGAGGAGGAGGAGGAGGAGGAGGAGGAGGAGGAGGAGAAGAGGAGGAGGAGGAGGATGCATGGCCAGATGTTTTCTCCGTCGCCAGGGACACGATCTGTGTTGGGATGTGCTTGCCCCCGAGACTGCAGGAGAGGGGACAACGTACAGATCAGAAAACAGTACTGTATAAAATCCGCCTGCCAATGCCTCGGCCAGCTTTACAGAAGGGAGGGAGGGTTGGGTGAAAGCTTGAGCCCCGCGGTTGCGGCAGGGCGGCGCACTCTGCAACTCTCTTCCAAGCAAACCCTTACTGAAGTAGTCGAATGCATGGCCAAATGTTTTCTCCGTCGCCAGGGACACGATCTGTCTTGGGATGTGCTTGCCCCCGAGACTGCAGGGGAGGGGACAACGTACATATCAGGAAACAGTACTGTATAAAATCCGAACCAGTGTAAAGCCCAGGAACAGGAAAACCTCCGCGAACACCGTTCTGGACTCAAACATGAGGCCGAAGTTTATTAGCACGCTGTTGCACTAGAGCAGCACGGAATATTCTCACAATGGCTCGGCATACAGAGAAGGGGTAAACCTCCGCCTGCTTTGATACGATCTTGGAGCCTTTCATCTCCAGGGTAAAATGCGGGGAGCCAGTGAACGTACATACACCTTTGCCTCTACATCGAATATCCAGTGGTCGAAGATCAACGTGACACCCAAGAAGTCGGGTAGATTTTATCCAGATGGTGCCGAAAGCGCACATGTCGAAAACCACTTCTGAAACACCAGGAAGCTGCCGGACCTTGAGGACCTGGGGCTGTCTCCAAAGATGAGAGCTCGCAGGGTTCTCGACGATCACTGCGCACCCAAGCAAACGGCACTCACGGAAGATACTGAAACTCGCGGCGCACAGGGAGCTTCCGAGGTCGACTTCTTTGCGGCAGCTGTCTGAGAGCTTGGGGAGGCCCTCGGGGTACTCGGACGCCCTGAGGGTCGGGGGCCCGTTAGGGCGGTTCCGTGCAAGAGAGAAGGAATTACACGGCGTACCCATGAACACGGCCGTCACGAGCCCACCTCGGACCCAGCCCCGAATAAGCTTGACCAGGGCCTTACTGCACATGTCATGCTCAACCCCGTGCCGTATGTCGCTCTCGAAAACAGGGTGGCCAGCCGACCTCATGGATCGGCGCCAGACCTCAGACAGGTGCCCGGAGCCAGCGAAGATCTCGAGGGCCGCGGGGACGCCCCGCTGCTTCACAAAGAGCGGAAGGCATTCACGAGGGTTACGCCAATGTTCGAGGCCGCCAGGTCGGCGGCGATGAGGATGTCCTGGGACAAGAGGCTCAGCTGCTCGTTGATGCGCCCGCCCCGCTCGTAGCGGGCTAGGCTGCGGTCGCTGGCCCAGCGGCCGCGCTTCTTGGCGCTCAGGAGAGTGCGAGCCTTGAAGAGGAGGTCGTGCGACACCCCTCCGTGGCGGAGGCGGTGCAGGCACGGGTCGCCCAGGGCAGTGAGCCCGCAAGCGGGCGCCGCGCCCTTCAAGGCCCGGCCCCACTGCGCCTGGCCGAAGTTGAAGACCAGCGAGTGGGGGAACTTGGCCTTCAGGAGGCCCAGCACCTGCGGCAACCACGGGAACAGGGGGTTGTCCGCTAGCAGGCTCTCGTCCACGCGGCCCGTCTTGGACGTGTCGCCGCCCTCTTGCGGGTGCAGGAGGAGGGGCCACATCTGGCCCTGGCCGTCCTGCACACGGCGAGGCGCCTGGGCAGGAGCTGTGATCAACTTCCCCTGCAGACGCAGGCACTCGCTGGGGCGCAGGTAGAACGTGAAGGTGATGATGCTGGCCACTGCCTCCATCACCTGGCCCGCGGCAATCATGTGCTGCACGCACAGGCACAGGGCGACCCAGGGGTACGGCAGGCGGCTCTGGGCGGGCACCATGCGCTTCCAGCCCGTCAAGGCGCGAAAGCTGCGGGGCAGCTCGAGGGGCGCTCCGTTGGGGTATGTCCAGAAGTAGCGGAGACCCGCGATCAGCTTCGTCGGCACGTAGGAGAGCTCGCCTGCGAAGAACTTCTCGTGCATGTACGTCACGAGGGCTAGGTCGATCGCCGGCGCCGACCTCAGCGAGGTCGCGATGTCGCTGAGCAGGTGGCGCTCCTGGCCCCACTGGTAGAACGCCGCCACGTGCGTCTGGTAGTCCTGGGCGGCCTTCGGCGAGACGCTCTGCAGCTCGAGGAAGGTCGGGGCGCCTGGCGGCGGTGGGGCCTCTGCGGCAGCAGGGAAGGCCCTCGCCCGCTTGGCGGCCCTCGCCTCCTGAGCGCCGGGGCCGTGGGGCACCCACTCGCGGCATGGGCGCCGCGAGGAGGGCGCCGGGAGGTTGGGCGCCACCTCCGCGCGGGGCAGGCCCCCGGCGTGGGCGCCCAGGGGGCACGGCACCAGCTGCGGGCCCGCCGTCACGGCTGTCGCCGAGGAAGCCATCGCGGAGGACCTCGAGCCCCGCGGGCCCGAGTGCTGCAACTGGATTCGGCGCAGCATTGAATCGGAAAGCTCCTGCCCGACCTCGAGAAGCGGCATCGGCTGCATTGGATTCTGATGGGGCCCATCTCCAGGCGATATACGAGTTAGAGGCCAGCAACATGGCAGCCGTCTGACGGCAGCACTGTAGGACCCCAGGGCTCGACGATCGCCCCTTGGTAAACGCAAGAATGGGAGCCATGCAATCGTTCAAAACCAGGTGCTTGCAACCGAAGTTCTGAGTGTTCCGAACTATGTTCTTCACGGTGAGCACGAGCGACCGAGCCTCCAAGACAACCTGGGCCTCCTCGTGGGACCACTTCTGGGACATAACGAGGGACCAGTCGCCGCCGTAGACCGACTCTGGGACCTCGGGGAAGGGGGCCTTCGGGATCTCGGAGTCCTGGGGGGAGGCGGTGACCCCGCCGCTGACCGAACACTTCAGAGCCGAGTCCCGTGGCTTGAGGATGGCCTCGTGGGCCGCTGAGTAACGCAAGCGCTCCGTATAGTGGCCCACGTGCTGGACCTCCTGGACGCTGCGGATGCCCCTGACGACCCCTGCGCCCCACCAGGACGCGTCGGTGCAGTAGACCATGGGGGACCATGCGGCATTGACGTCGCGGAAAGCGAGTGCGATCAGCGCGGCACACCAACGAAGCTCCCGTTTGACTGAGCTCCAGAGAACACGCGTGTGGTGGCCCGACGACTCGATGAAAGAATACGAAGCCTGCAGACATGAGAGTAATTCACGGCGCAGCAGAGCCCGAGACGTGAAGTGTGACACGACGACCCTGACAAGATCCCCCGAGGCGTACTTCATGTTTGCGACAGCCGGACACCCTAGTCGTATCCGCCAGCCTTTGCGGTGACTGATCCCGATCGTCGGGGCGTCCTGGTCGAAGGTCCAACCGAGAACACCCCCTCCAGCCGACACCGTCGGACCGCGGGTGCGAAACCCAGCGTCTCGGAGACTGCGATCGACGGAGTCAGTCACGGCATACGTGGGGTCCTTCGAGAGGCCAAGGGCAACGAAGTTGTCAACGTACTCTGTATGTAATACCTGCGTGGAAGATCGAACCAGACGGACAGGAAGGTGCGCATCGTCAAAAGCCAGACTGGGGGAGGCCAACGTGTTGGTGCGGGCCCGGAACTCCATGATACGCTGACAGATCCAGAGACTGTGTTTCCATCCCATTGGGACGGCGGTAAAGCACGGGGTAACCCAGTCGCTGGCCCTCAAGGGGCCTCCAGCGCTGTCGGTAGTGATACCTAGGACCCCAGCTCGTACTCGAGGTAGCCCGAAAAACTGCCAGAACTCCGGAGGTAGCTGAATCCCATAGAAGGCATTCTCAATGTCCGTCTCCCCAACATAGATAGGCCCCCCACCGTCAACCTCCAGGGCCGAGAACGCCGACCCAGTAGCTAAGTCAACGTGAGGGCGCTCATCGAAATGCTCGCCTGCCTGACGCCCGTCGAGGATCAAACGAAGGTCACCGTTCTTTTTAGCCACAAAGAAGACTCCCACGCAGGATGTACACTCTCGCCTCCACGTCACAAGGTTAGACTGACTGAGGCGAAGCAGGAAGCGCGCATAAAGCCGAGGATGAGAACGGAGATAAGGATCGTGGTAAATTCTGGGAGGAGGTGTGGAAGTATCTGCAAGTGCTGGGTCAGGACGCCGTAGCGCATGCAGCTCATCAACTATGGCTTCGCCGACGGAGCCGCCCAGCTGCAAAATTCCAGCAGGTGACCACCCGACAGGAGGAAGGGTAACTCTGTTTATATTGGCCTCGCTGATGAGAACCACGGGGCTGCTCGTCACGGAGTAGCCTGGGTTAACGCGGAGCTCTCGTAAGGCCCCTGCTGAGGTGAGGTCCGCCGGGGGCTTGCCAAATCGTAGAACCGCACGGTGGATATGCTCCAACACACGCCTTCTGGGCCGCCGATACTGTTTGACCGCTGTCCGAACCGTGTTGACCGCGTAACTGATTCAAGACCGAAACCACCTCGGAGACCAAGGATGCTGACTGACGGTGGACCTCGAATCTCCTCCGAACTTTGCGCGAGACAGAGGTCCTAGGGGGGTCAGAGGAGGCCGGCACAGGCAGGGGAAATAATCACGAGGGCACGCTCTCGACATGGGACCAGGCGCCACGCGATGGCCAGAGCACGAGGATGACAGGAGGAAGGGGAAGGTGATGGCGCGGCCCTGCGCCTCTGCTGGCAGAAAATCGAGGCGCGCCTGCCACGGCGAGCCTAGCCCCACAGAATGTGAACAGCGGGCGCCAGGGGGGGCGACCGCCGTGCGTCCAAAACTAATTTGGACCATGGCCCGCATCAGCCCGCTCTTCTCGGGCTTTTCGGACCTGCTTTAAAATGTTGGCATCGCGTTCGGCTTGCTTGCCAACCCACTCGACCAGGGCGGGGCGCACCATGGCGTCTCCCGTCTCACGCTGCCCCCGGAAGGCGGTGTGCTCGTCCAGGTAGCCGAAGGCGCCCGCGGCGCCTCCTCGTCCGCGGCCACGGCCACGGCCCTTCTTCTTGGCATTCAGGTCGCCGTCGGCAACCTCAGTGCTGGCTCCAGCAAACCCGCCGTGCTTGGCATACGCATACTCGACCAGCTGGACTTCGCGCATTAGCGACTCGATCCCCGCGACGTTCGGCAGGTCGAGCGAGTCGTAGGCGCCGAGGGTCTCGAGGGCCTTCATCCCGAACTCGTGCATCGGGACACCCCAGCTGTCCTTGTGGAGGCGGTGGACCATCACGAAGAAACGGTGGTGGTCGAGAGGGCCCCCGCCCCGACGGTCGATCCATCGGCAGCACCAAAGGGTGGTGCGGGGGCCCTCTATCGCCCAGTCGGGGAAAGCGATCTCGGATAGCGAGCTGGCCACGTCACGCCATGCTCGACGAGAGCGTTGACCATTCACCGCGATCACGCTGAGGAGGCGGGCATCACCCGCTGCCTCGAGGCCCTTGAAATCCTGCACCTGGTCGGAACGAATCGTACGAACCAGCAAGCCACCATAGCCAGGAGCCGTGTGGATGCCGATGTCGCCAGACATGACCTCCGTGCCGTTCGGAGCCACTGGAGTCCCACGCGGGCCGTACGTCGTCGTCTCAACCGTGACCATCATTGGGTAGGGTGCCGCTGCCACCATGCCCAGTCCTGCGGCCAGCGGGGCCCCAGCTGCAGGGGCGCCAGCAGCCATGGCCGCGGGGAAGGCGGCCGGGGCGGCGGCTCCAGGCGCCGCGGCGGCCAGCGGGGCCGCCACCACCGCCCCCGGTGGAGCAGCGCCAGGCAGCGCGGCTGGGGGTGCTCCGAGCAGGGCCAGCGGGGCGGCGGCCGCGGCGGGGGCGCCCAGGGCCGGAGGGCCCGGGGGGGGCGCCATCCCAGGGAGCGCTAGCGGCAGCCCGGGGGCTGCGGGGGCCACAGCGGCGGCCGCGGCTGGCGCTGCGGGCGCGGGCCACACGGCGTCGACCAGGCTGCCCGTCGCCGGGAGCACCGCTGGCTGCCCTGCCGCCCGCTCGCGAGCGAGGAAGGCGGCGTCGCAGAACGCCTCGGCGTCCGCGCGCGTCGTGGCGAGGGCGGCGGCGTCGGGCTCCTGCTGGAAGCGGTACACCTGACCTCGCGGGATACCAGGCGGGGGAGGACGGAAGACCTCCGACCAGCGCCAGGCCTCGATGTCCCGCGAGGCCCCTGAGAGGTCGATCTGCTCGGGGTCGCCGTCCGGCGAGACGCCGATGACCTCGTCGGCGTCAGTCACTTGAGTCGCCGAGGAGGCCAGCACCCCGACAACGCGCCGCTGGTGGTACAGCGCCTCGCCCTGGTACCGGAGCCACAGCCAGGGTCGTAGTATCGGTGGGGGCATCGCCGCCGCCATCAGTCCCGCGGCGGGGACACTGAGCCGTCAGCCAGCGCAACACCTGCCAGGTGCCCAGCGCGAGGGCAAGCACCACAGCTCCTCCGGCCGCGCCCAGCAGCAGGAGTCCAGCGGACGCGAGCCAGCCAGGGAGCCACGGCGGCGCTGCCGCAGGGGTGGTGCAGGCTGGCTCGGGGGCCCCGGGGCAGCCTGGGCACGCGGGGCACTGCGGGCACGCTGGCGCCGGGGGGCAGTGCACCTCTCCGCACACGAAGGAGCCGCAGACAGACTCGGGGCACCTCGGGCAGGATCCAAGCCAGGCGAAAGTGGCCTGACCTGCCCAGTGCGCGACAGCCACCGGGAGGTCGGGCATGCGACGCGCGCGAGAAGCGTGCGCCCGCCCGTGAAAGCTTGAGCCCCGCGGTTGCGGCAGGGCGGCGCACTCTGCAACTCTCTTCCAAGCAAACCCTTACTGAAGTAGTCGAAGGAGAGGAAATATCGGGAGCATCGATCGGCGCACCAGGGTGCGGGGTCGAATACGGAAGCGCAGTGGCGACGGCGCTCACAGCTGCCTCGGCCTGCGCGCGTGTAACATTCGCTGCGCTGCCCAAAGAAGTGGGGTCTGCAGCCCGCGGAAACTGGTTTCGGCTTAGCTTCGCTTCGCATATTTTTCCCCTTTCCAGCCTAGGCCCTGGCAGGGGGCAATCAGATCTCGCAAGGGCCGACGGCTGGCGTGATGGCCTCGCTGGCCGCCCGCCAATTTGCCAGGGAGCTCGCAGGCTGCGAGAACTGGTCACTGTGACGCACCTGGTGCATCTGTACTTGCGGCCGCAAGGCTCGAAGGTATGTTGCTTCCAGCGCGGGCCCTTGACCTTGGCCGACGACGCTCGCTCGCAGACCCAGTGGTCCGGCACCATGGCGTGGGCCAGCGCCCTCCGAGCCCTACGTCGGATTATGGCATACTCGGCGTCGTGCAGATCGGAGGGCTCGGCCTGGCCGACGAGGGCTTCGGACCAGGCCTCCTGAGCAGCGATGCCCGCCCACGCATCGGCACACGCACTGCCTACCGTCAGAAATCGGCGTTCCGAATCGCTGCCAAGGCATCGGGAGCCCTCAGAGTGGGACGGCGTCCAGACCACGGAAACGGTCCCAAGGCCCTAAGCCTCAGGAGCTTTCTGGATGTGCCTGCCAGTATCTGAAGTCGTCCCCTGATGGGGCCTGAGCTGACGCTTCGCCGCCCAGCCGCTGAGGAGCGGCAAGTGGCCAGTGACAAAGATGATGTCGCCTCTGGTTTGCTCGAGGGCGATTGCAAAGGCCTGCAGCCTGCAGTTCGGACCTGGGGCCCGTTGGGAAGGGGCCCTCGAGGACAGGAAGAAAATCGCCCCAGACCGACCAGCGGCCGTCTTGCCAGATCATCGCCACGACCGAGGACCCCATCCTTCGGGGGCGGGGGTCCGAGCTGCATGGGCCCCCAGGCCGACTCTGAACAGGATTTGGAGTCCCGAAGGGGCTCGACAGTCCTCCACGTCCGCCGACAGTCTCGCACTGCATGCATCCAGACAGGCCAAAGTCGCGAGGCCACGGCCTCGCCCACCTGGTCCGAGACAGGCCGGGACACTGTCCGCAACGGTGGTCGCATCGCACCCCCCACCCGCCTCAGCCCGCCGTCCCCTCCCATACCAGCAAAGACGAGGCGTGTGTCAGGCCTCGAGGGGATCCCACGGAGCAGAGGAGAGCGGGGATGGCGTGCTGTGCACCGACCGCGTAGGAGACTCCGCAGCCCCGCCGGCTTGCAGGTCAAGGTATTCCTTCTCTTGGGTGTCGTTGACCCTCGCTGGAGGGCTGAGCCAAAGGAACGGGGGGAACAAAGCAGAGAACAGAAGGCAGGGTGGCGGGCGGGTCGGAAAGTCGGGAAGGTTAATCGTTCGAGATCCGCTTTGCGGCCCCGTCGTCGTCGACTGGCGAATTCAGGGACTCCAGCGGAATTCTGGCCACGCGCGGCAGTCCAGGGAACGTAGGAGGCCCGGAGGCCCTTGCGGAGCTCCTCGGGGCCCGCAGAAACCCAGAAGTCAGCACTTCATCCTGCGAAGCGGTAAAAGCTTGGAGACGATCTAAAAGATTGGAAGCGATAGTCTTCGAGAGCCCGGACGAATGCCTTCCTGGCGGCGGTCCGAAACGTGCCGCAAGCGGTCTTGCCAGGGCGGGTTATGAGGGCCCCTCCCCCGTGGGAGTACTTGCCCGCTCAAGGGGTGCTGAGGAGGTGAGCCTGGAGGGAGGGCATACGGTGGCCAAGCAACCGAGCGGGAGGAATGACCTACAGGCGGCACGAGGAGGCAGGAGAGATGAGGCAGGAGCAGGCATGAGGTTCGGTTCGTTTCGGACCCCCACGAAAGCATCAATCATTTGAGCGGCAGCAAGAGGAACGCCAGGCTCAACGGAGCTCGCCGGTCCAAAATGCCCGCTGTGCGGGCTTATCCGAAAGATCAAAGTATGGCAACGAAAAAGGACAAAAAAAATGGCAACTGGTAAATAACAGCCTGCAAGAGCCAACCAGACGGGGAGGCGGGAGGAGGGTCCCCCTTGGTGACGGGGGTGGGGACCCACTCGGGTGCCCCCGGGCTTGTTTAGGGAGGAGAAGGACAAGGAGGAGGAGGAGGAGGAGGAGGAGGAGGAGGAGGAGGAGGAGGAGGAGGATGGAGGAGGAGTAAGAGGAGGAGGAGGCGGAGAAGAGAGGGAGGGCGTCGGGCCCAGCCGCGCGCACTCTGGAAAGGCATCTCAACGCTGGCGCAGAAGCTTCAGCGGCATGCCACGACCGCCATCACCCCGTCATCCTCGCGAGCACCGCCGCCGCCGCCGCCAGCGCCATCAATGCCCTGGGTGCGTCGCTCCGCTCCGCGTGGCGGGAGGCTGGGGACACCTCGGGAGGTTGACGCTTGGAAATGGGGACGTGGACAGCGTGTCATGCCGAAGCGTGCTTCGGGTGTTGCTAGAAGTGCCGGCCCAAAGGTGCCCCCAGGATTTCCCAGAAGGCCCCCACGGCCTCCAGAGCACCCCTCACGAGGCCCAGAGGGCCCCAGGGGCTCCCAAATTTGAGCGAAAAGGCTGGAGGCACTTTGGGCCAGGGGCAAACTCAGCAACCCCCGAATGGTGGGCCAGAGCGGGCGAGGCGGCACGCTGGGCCAGAACCGACCGCACAACGCCGCCCACCGTCTGCAAGACCGCCCGGCGCCTCCCGCAGCAGGGTGCCGAAGCGCTCCATCTCGTACATGCTGCATGCCTCAAGCACGTCCAGCGCCGCCAGCACCGGCAGCGCGCAGCTGGAGGCCTCCATGAAAACCTCGGGCTCCTGCTGGGGAGAGGCGCGCCGTGAGGGCGATAGAGCTAGCCGTGCGCAGAGGGCACCTCCACATCACCAGCGTGTCTGGCCTGGCCATCCTCTAAGTCACCTGACGTCGCGCATCGCAGCCCGCGATGAGCGACGCACGACTCTCGTCGCGCCCCCGCGGGTGCCCTAGATCCTAGAACCTGGCATAATATATGCACCATCCTGGCCGAGGCCAGACGCTTCCAGGCACCATCCTCGGGCCCAGTATGGCCCTGGCCAGGCATGGTGGTGGTGTGAAGGTGCCTGCCGCTGCTGCAGACCCCATAGGAGGTACGGCCGGCAGGTTCATGCCGTGGCGACTTGCGCGTTGGTTCCTGACACCGCGTGGACTGTTCAACCTTCGACGACAGTTGCTCTCTGACAGCCGAGATCGTTCAGACCGCCAGTGGCCTGAACCTGAAATCCTTTCGCTGGCGTCGCCGCCGCGTCGGCAGCGTAAATTGTCCCTCCGGCCCTTGAGGATTGAGGAAGGAGAAGGTCTACCTTCACCGATCCTGGCGAGGCCAGGGACGGTGTGCGTGTGTGCGTGAAAGGCGGGGACGCCTTGGACGAAGCTTCGTGGCATCATCGCTGCTGCCTGCGCTTCCCGCTGCAGTGCCGCCCGCTCATGCCTTCTCGCAGCGGCGCCGGAGGAACCAAATGTATGCAGAAGAACATGTTGGCACCTCACCTCTACTGAGCAACGTTTGACCGATCTCTATCCCCACTGGCGTGGCCTGGGCCCCCCTGGCCGATTTACCCCCCCCGATGGGGACATAGGCTGTTCATTACGGGTTTCGAGGGGCATATCTACGAGAACAGCGCCCATGCAGCGTGAACTCCCTTCAGGCCCCGCTCTGACGCAGTTCAGTGCACAGTTTCCCGGCCTGGACAGTCGAAATAACTACGCACCACACCATTCCTTGGTCGAGGATTGATGACACCTCGGGAGACGCCAACGCGGTACGGCGCATACAGGTCGTCCACGGAATATCCCCAACCGGGGTGGTGGGATGGTGGGGATCGGAATGGGGATGAGGATGAGAATGGGGATCGGTTCAACGATGCTGATATACTTCTGCCGCTTTTAGCCGAACCGCGGCGGGCCCCCGCCAGCGGACCCGCCGCCATCGGGCCTCGGCCGGCCCTCGGCAGCCCTCCGCAGGCCCGTCCGCTGGCGCCGAGACCCGCCGAAGACGAGGCGGCCCCTGGAACTAGAGGAAGAACAGCGACACACGTAGAGGACGAACAGCGACATGGACATGAACTGTCTGAGCTCCGTGCGGAATTCTTGGATCGGCGCTGGACCTCCCTCCCTGGCGCGCAGACCGCGCCAGAGGCGTCGCCGGAGGCGCCGCCAGGAGATCCGCGCCGGCGGCGCCAGAGGCGCGCTGGAGGCGGTGCCAGAAGCGCGCCCAGCACTGATCCAAGACATCTGCGCGGAGCTCAGAAAGCTCATGTTTACGCAAGTGTTTTTTCCTCGAAGAACGCCCCATCCCCAGATGCCCGACATTATGATTGTTTCAAAATACTGGTCTATCTCAAGAGGGAAGAATATCCAGATATCCGGCGTCTCGAAAAAATCGAGACGGAGGTGTTTCATCGCTACCGGCCTCTGGGGGCTCGTGCTGTGAGCCTCGGGACCGTCAAACAACGACTCAAGATGAAAAACCGACCCTGGGGAAGTGGTCGAGAGGTCGGGGGCCAATTACTCGAAAAAATCGAGACGCCGGGTGCCTGGGATTCGGAGGCACCACCCGGTTTGGGGACTCGGGTCGTTCTCCGAGGACGTCTCGGGCGACCGGGGCCTCTGAGGTCCCAAAACCGTGCGGTGACGCACCGCGCGGAGAGGTCGTCGGGAATTCCGATGTCACCACGCGGTCCGTCATCACACGGTTTTGGTGCCGCCGAATAAGACGAAGCCAGGACCAGGACAAAACCGGACTGAACAAATGATTGTGGTTTTGCTGTTTTCACCCTCTGGGGGGCCTTACCAGCCCTCGGGGCCGCCGGGGGCCCTCGGGACCGACAGGGGCCCCTACCAGCCCTCGGGGCCCTCGGGGCCCTACCAGCCCTCGGGGCCGCCCGTCCTGGGGAATGGGTCGAGACCTCCGGGGATGACGTTGGGGGTCTGGGGACACATCGGGGATCTCGGAGATCCAGCTGCTCTGGATGATGTAGTGGTCGCCGCGGCCGTTCCACAGCGCTCCAGAACGCTTGCGAGAGCGTGCTGGAGCGCTCTGGGACGAGTTGACTCCCAGCCCTGGCCCCGCCCGACGGGAGCCCGACGGAGGCAGGTGCGTTCGGGGAGGGCCACCGGAGCGACGAACAGAAAGAAGTCTTACACGAGATGACATAGCGACCTTCCGCGGCGGCTTGCGCGGGCCGCCATTGCGGCACGCTACTTTGGAGCCTTACGCGGGCAGCTCACGCGCCAACGTCGGTGAAGACGACCCCACTTTTTGCGTCGCTCACCTGTTCTCTCTTCACCAGTCTCAGCCTCGGCCAGCATCGGTGTGCGCGCGTGTGGAAGGTTGGGGTGCCCAGTTTTGCCTTCGCCCCTCGAGAGTTCGGACGCTTTCGGCCCCTGTTGGGCCTCTGGAAGCCTCTGGAGGCCCTCGCGGACCTTCAGAGACCTCCTCCGGTCCGGGGACCTCCTCAGAGGACTTCCTCCAGGGACCTCCTCTGGGGACCTCGTCCGCGGTGACGCGACCTCCTCCGGGGACCTCCGCGGGTCAGGATCTGTGGCGGGAGCAAAACTGACCAGGCTGGGGTCCCCCGATGTCCTTTCTCCCTACCCCAATCTTCCCCGCCCCCTCCCCCCTGCTCAAAGATCACATGCTGGCCCAGGCTGGCCTTCGAAAGTCACGTTCCTCATCCTCCCCTTCCCCCTCCTTCTCCCAGGCTGGGCAGGAATTGAATACCACTTCTGGGACGCTGAAGCCACAATTCGGCTGAGCGCGCAGTCGCCTCTCACTCCTAACACGACAGAACTGTCAAAGGTAATCTGCTGAACCGCCGCCCTCTTCGATCCGGCCATCACGGAGCCCCCCTGCTGATCCATGTCCTCAAAGATCGCCCACACAGGGCCCTTACGGCCCCGAAGAGGGCCCTTAAGAGAGCCCCAAGAGGGCTCCGAACGCTCCCACAGTGTCCCCCAGAGGGCCCCAAGAGGCTTCTGAGAGACTCCCAGAAAGAAGACGGCTGCACTCAAGCTACTACGTAGGCCCCTGTCCCGCATGGGCTCGGTCCTCGTCGCCCACACGCGGCACGGCCTCCCCGTAGGCCCATCTGAGCAGCACGCCCAGCGTCCTGCTGCAAGGATGCGGAGCTCGAGTGCAGGGCAGAAGCGAGGCGAGTAGAGGGGGGGCAACGACCACGACGGCGACGACAGCTGCCTACACTGAAACGACAACATGGGCAACGAGAAGCAACCTTGCACATGGCATTGGTTCGAACGGAGCAGGGATGGGGCAGCTCAGTTGGACTTGTTGTTGTTCCTCTCTCTCTCTCTCTGTCTCTCTCTCTCTTGTATATATATATATATATATCCATCTCTCTCTACACATAGATATGTATACCATCATTTCTTTCTATGTGCACAAACCCGAATATGTTTGCCCTTATAATACTTCGAGCGCAGATCAAGCCGCGAAGAATCAGCACAACACAGATGTCAATCGTCCATAATAATACGCTCGGCTGAACATGTATCGGCCCTGCTCGAACTCGAAAACCGTGGCTCTTATGACTCTGACGCGGATGACCATAATCAGCAGACGCGATCGGTCGATCCTCTCTCTCTCTCTCTCTCTTTCTGTCTCTCTCTGTCTCTCTCCCTCTCTGTCACTCCATCTGTCATTCTCTCTCTCTCTCTCTCCTCTCTCTCTCATAATCTGCATCACCCTCCCTGCTGGTCAGCCCTATCATCCACATCCCTCTCTTCTCCTCAACATCACTTTCCTCATCCTCCTCTTCAATTTAACCAATCAATCAAACAATAGATCAAACACCCGCCGCGTCCTCACCCTTATCGTCATAATCTTCTTCATCATCCTCATCATCAAAATTATCCCCATCATCAAATCCAGAACCGCCAGCATCATCATCATCACCAGCATCATCGCCATCACAATCGACCACCATCATTAGCACCACCACTACCTATCACCATGAGCTTTACCACCACCACCACCATCAACAGACTCCTCACCAGCATGCTCAACCACATCCACCTCCGCATCATCAGCAGCAGCATCACCATCACCAGCATCGACACCACCACTACCATCATCATCACCATGAACTCAGCATCATCGTCACCCCCACCGCCATCACTAACGTTATCATCCGTATCAGCACCAACACCAACATCATCATCATCATGATCAGCATCATCGTCATACACCTCATCCTCACGATCCCCATCCCCATCCCCACGAGCATCAGCAACACCGCCAGTATCATCATCATCATCATCATCATCAGCAGCATCATCATCATCATCATCATCATCATCATCATCATCATCATCATCATCATCATCATCATCATCATCATCATCATCATCATCATCATCATCATTAACAACAACAACATCATCGTCATCCGCAACATCATCATCAGAATTGCCATCACCATTACCATCATCACCATCAACATCATCACCATCAGCATCAGCATCATCACCCGCATCATCCTCATCATCACCATACGCATCATCATCAGCATCATCATGGTCACCGTCATCGTCATCGTCCTGCCCTGTCCTGTCCTGGCCCGTCCGATCCTATCATATTACATCCGATCCTGTCCTAACCCGCCTCCTCCTCCTCCACCTCCTCCTCCTCCTGCTCCCGCTCCTCCTTTTTCCACCTCCTCCTCCTCCTTGTTCTCATGCTCCTCCTGTTCCTCCTCCCTCTCCTCCTCCTCCTCCTCCTCCTCCTCCTCCTGCTCCACCTGTTAGTATCATCTCCCTGTTTCTCCTCATCGGTGGCCGCGGTGACCGATGCGCGCCTGGTCACCCCGCGAGCAGCCGACGCACAACTACGAGAGGAGCACCTCAAAAGACTTGCCCCGTCGAAGAGGAGGCACGGGCAAAGGGGGGAAGGGGGGGGGGGGGGGGGCGAAAGAGGAAACACGGGCAGGGGCGAGGGGGGGAACGACTGGCCGAGCCTACGAATGCTTCCAGGAACCACGCCCTCAAGAGCATGGACCTATCCGAGCTCTCCTTCGGGTTGGCACAAGGGTTGCGGAACTTCTCACTTCCCCGACAAGAAACAAAAGCCCCGCACAGTATACCAACAAACACATATGCAACGTTTGAGCAAACCTCTCTAGCCCAATGGAGCTTGCGCCCCCCCCCCCGTCAAAGGGAGCGAGAGAGAAGGGTTGAGGTCCTCACAAGGGCTGGAGGTGCCCAGACTGACACCACGAAGGCACCGCCCACACCTGAGGACATCTCCATGGCGGACGGGTATATGAAGGCTCGCAGGTATCCTAGGCACTGGTGGCTTCGGGATCCTCTGGAGCTTGCCGAGCATGGATTCAGTGCTGGGGCAACACGCGAAGACATCGCACACTCCTAAGCACAGGCTGTGCTATTGCTTTTATGCGTCCTCGAATGAACCTCCGCAGGCGCCGCATCATGAATATTCGCACCTTGTTTAGCCCACCAATCAGCAGCGGTGGACCCAACAACCAGATTGCGAGCGTCACTACCGAGCCCACCATTCATATCCTGATGGCCCTTGACTTTGCGAAGCGAAACCAAAGGAGACTTCTGCACAAGATGCCGAGCCATCTCTCTCCAAAAGGAGCTAAACGGGGAGGGCCCTCCAAAAGCCCTCGGTGGGTTCGCAACGCCCCTGAACAACGACTGGTAATCGACGACGACGGGGCTGGGTCGTTCGCGAACACCGCGGGCAGCCCTACGCAACGCAGCAACTGCTAAAGCTGCACGCTGTGATCTGCCAGACGTTTGTTCAAATTCGCACGGGAGGGTGCCATGCACTCCACGGACAAGGGTTTCGCCCGAGAAATGCATTACAGCGAAACCTCCTCGCGCAATCTCCCTCTCGTTCCCCGCGGAAGCAACTGCCTTCAGAAAAGCGCGAATCTTCGACGAGAGGCGCCCTGGCATTCCAAGTACATAGCGCGATTTGAGCTGTCTTCGGCGAATGCCCACCTTCCACCTTCGAGAGGAAGAGCACGTCGTACTGGCTAAAGACTCCATTCAGGCTCGCCGTTGGGGACGATGATGTGGTTGATGGCAGACTTGATCTCGTCCCTGGTCCAACCTGTCGTGGCGAGGGCGGTATCGTTCCAATAACATGTGTTAGCCTCCTGCCCTGGCTGTGGGTCAAGTCGAAGAATCGGGTTCCAGCTTTCAGAGATCCATCCATTCTGGCGATCAAAGAACAGCTTGGCGTCGGGGTACTTCTCCCGCAGGATGGCCGTGATCTTCTTCCCTGCAATCTCGCGCTTGATCTGGAACGGGTTCTTGTCGGCACCAACGTGCAGCTGTGTGGATCCTCCTGGTGCAGCAGGAACGGGGAAGCGCATCCAGTTACCCTTGCCCGGAAGACGAAGCGCTCCGAGCGCCTGAACTGCACGTCGACCTGCGATGGCGACAGGGCCTGGGAACTGTAACGTAAACAGGCGATATTGCTCTTCTCCCTGAACTTCCCATCCGTCAATCTTGGGCTTGTCAAGCCAAGTCTTGATGGAGTCGTGGACGTCCGAGCGCTTGACCATAGTGGAGGCCACGATCTTGAGCACCGTCGCATCCACTTCCCTCTGAAATCCAGTAGCAGGCGGCTTTGGTGGAGGTGGAACACGATGTGCGCGTGCCAAGGCTTGTCGAAGTTCGTCCATTTGCTTGCGCATGTCCCCGAGCTCGTCATGCATCTTATCGGTGCGCGAGTCCAAGCTGGTAACTCTGGCACTGAGTCCATCCAACTGCGACTGAAACCGCCGCTCCATCGCAGCCAGCTCAGGACGAAGCGAGGCCTCCACCTTCTGCTGGCAGGTGGCGGGAACGCTCTTGACGGCGTCCTCCACAGCGCGGATCGCGGCCATGACGGGATCGACGGCCTGCGAGGCTGCTGAAGATGCTGTCGAGGCGACCATTCCAGTGATCTCATTCTTGAAAGAGACGAACGTGCTGCGGAGGTGGCCATCAATGAGGCCCTTGACGTGGTCGTCCCAACCGCTGGGGTCCATGTCAGGATCCTCTTCTTCATCAGAGCCACATCTGCTGGAACGGGACCGCTCTTCGGCGCGGCCATCACGAGCCTCAGCGCCGTCATCAGCAGGGCGAGCCGCACTGCTCCGAGCATCGCCAGGGAGCTTCTTCTTCTTTCGCCGCCCTCCAGAGGCTGAGGGCGCCATGAGCCGCGGGCGCGGCGCGCGGGCGCAGGGGCGGCGCGCGTGGTGGAAACTTGCCGCGGATCAGCGGTATCCGTTTCAGCCTTGGGGCAAGCAGCCCCAACAGACATGGGTCTTGAGCCAAAATGGCCACGGAGGTTTTGGACAGGAGGAGGAGGAGGAGGTGGAGGTGCCAGCTGTGAAGTCCACGCGATGGGGCGAGCGTGACAACAAAAGCGAGCGGGACTGGTGGCAGCGGCAGGGCTTCCAAGTCACAGGGGGGAAGGAGACCACCTTGGCACTCAGCGAGGGTCTGGCACTTCGCACCGCCATCGCACTTGGACGGTTACGGAGCAGAATGAGCAGCAGCAGCGGCAAGAACCGCAAAGAGAAGCGGCAATCAGTCAGACGACTTTGTCGCGGCTATCGGGAGCCGCGCGAACGACGGGCGTGCGCGCGTCCACGGCAGCGCGTAGATCTACCGTGCAGCGCTCGTTTTCCTGCCGCCTGCCGCTGTCCAGCGGGGGGAGGGGCGGGGGTGCCAAGCACTAGAGGAAAGAAAAACGGTGGAGACATAAACTGTTGGAGGTCCGCGCGGATTTTCTTGAATCGGCGCTGGACCCCCCTCCCTGGCGTGCGGAGCGTGCCAGGGGCGGGGCGGCGCTGGAGGCGTGGGCTCCAACGCCGATCCGAGAAATCCGCGCGGACCTCCAAAAATGTATGCTTGTGCCATTTTTGGCACGGAGCAGGAGGGGTAGACTACAGAGAAGAGTGACCCTGGGTAAGAGTGACCTTTGGTGCGCGGCTTTTTGGGGACCGCGGGGGGACCAACCACAAGAGCGCAGGACGCTACTGTCGCATCGCGTTCGGCGATCGGGGGAACCCACTGGGCCCGTACCAAAGGTCACTCGAACGTCTAGTCGGAGGAGGGGCAGCTCACACTGCACGGGATGGCCTCTGGTGCTTCACGCCTGGGCCAAAGCCACGGCAGGGCGCAGCGCCACGAGTCGGGAGCACATCCCGGGTGAGGCGCGCGCCCGACGCCTAGCCCTCGTGGAGCATGACCTGGAAGGGAAAACGAGCGGCATGAAGAGAAGGGCCCAGAGGCACACAAATAAAGAGGCACTAGTCCCAGGATTCCCTGTATTTTGAAATACTTGTTGGATTGTATGCTCGACTTCCCCGCCGTTTCGCAGATGTTCCACATTTTGTTTCAAATCGACGTTTCGTCGTGTCTTTGTTTAACTGTCCCTCGTGAAGAGACCTGCTTTCTCGGAGCTCCGCGCAGATTTCTTGGATCGGCGCCTGACCCCCCTCCCTGGCCCGCGGAGCGCGTCTGGGGCAGCGCCGGAGGCGTCGCTGGGAGGGGCCAGCGCAGATCCGAGAAACCCGCACGGAGATCCAAGAGTGCATGATTATGCTGTCTGTTCCTCCCTGGCTCGAGCCGCACAAGGTTTTGCGTTGTCGTTTTGTTTTCGTATTATTTGCCTCTTGCTGCGAAACGAAATCAAAACTGAAACGGTCCACGAAATCGCCAAACCACCGTTTAGTTCGAGCCCTATGTTCTTCTCCGATCGCCTGCAGGTCCTTCAACAGCCTCTGGGTGTCGCCAACCCCCCTCTGGCGGTCGGCGAGGTTGTCCTGTGGATAAGGGCAACGATAGGTGGGGGGGCTAGCACGGGGGGGAAACATCGGCCTGGAGTCGGCGATACGTCGCCGACCTTAGATGTCCCGATACATAACATGCATCACGCAGCGTGTTGATACCGCGCTCAACACGTGTCCTGAAAATGCAGGTCTGACGCGAAGTTCGCCAGACCGAGGGCCAAAACGTTGAGCCAACACGCAACGTATTAACGCGGACGTTTCGAGCACGGCACGTGTTGCATATCGAAACGTGCGTACCAAGGCAGCTAAGTCGCCGATAGATCGGCAACAGGCCCCCGATAGCAAATCCAGACGCTCCTGGGCGGGGTGGGGCTACAAGATCCTTATCGGCGATCCATGGGCGATTGGGGGTCGATGCACCCCGCCTCCCCGCTGTGCCTGTCCCCCCCTATCGCTGCCCCTGACCTGTATGGCCTGGCAGAACCGGTGCATGTCGTCCACGACCCTGTCCTGGGCGGCGGCCCGCTCCTCGGCGGACGGCGGCGCGCACGCCGAGAGGGGCGGGCGCACGAAGGGGGGGGCCTTCGGAAAGGGCAGAGCGGGGGCCATCTTTGGGCCACCGCGCGTGAGCCCTGCCCGTGGCAGGTCAGGTTCCTGGAGAAAAACAATCCTGGTCGTGAGAACGTGCTCGTCCACCGAAGCGCCCCCAGACGACGCAGCCGATGAGATGAGGGCCGAAAGGGACAAACACACGTTCGGCGAACATGTGTTGTGAGGATCACCGAATAAAGCACCAAACAACTACCAACATTTTGGGACAGTTCTTTCTTATCTGTCCGCGTGGCATTCTATGTCCTCCCCAAACCCTCGATACCCACCCCTTTAGTCTTCGATCATACCGCCCTGGAGGGGCATGTTCCTTACCTGCATCGTGTAGTTGGCACAGACCCCAGGGGACGGGAGGAAGGAAGGGACAACGAGGAGAGGTAATGGAACACGACAGAGACAAGCAGGAGAGAGGTTAGGAAGCAGGAGGACGGGCGGCAGTATAAGACGGGCGAATCGGGCAGGCGGACCCTAACGGGCGGGTCGGGCGGGCGGGCCCAAACGGCGGGGTCGAGCGAGCGGGTCGCTCGCTGAAGCGTCAGTTCCGCATGGATCGCGAGGAAGTCTCGGGCGGGGGGGCGTTTCCCAAATCAATCGCAACGAAATCCGTAGGGAAAGCATGACTCTGAGTGCTGGGGACGAGGCGTCTCAAGAAATTGTGGGGAACTGCCACGCGAAAGCGCGACTCCTGCATAAATGTTGACGATGTCCCGCGCGAGCGCGATGTTGAATGCATTGTGAGGAAGTATGGAGCGGAAGCCGCTGTTGTTGTAGACCAAGGGCCAACAACAAAAATCTGAGCCTCAACGATTCCCATGTACAAAAAGTGCGAGCCCAGGGAGAGGGACTCCGATTCAAAAACGCAATGGGCACCGCGGGGAGGGATGATCAACAACGATTGTTTTTTTTTTACTTGGGAACCCAACAGTTACAACAACAATAACAATAACAACAACAACCACAACAACCACAACAACACCAACAACAACGACAACGACACCACCAACAACAACAGTAAGTTTACCCGAATGCTCTACTCTGCTTATAAATGCAGCATGCGTCCATCATGATAGTTCTCCCCTCATGGGGGATTGTTTTCTTGCACATGGGATCCGATATTCCCTCTCCCTGATTTCCCGCCCGAGGAGGTCTTGACCACACCATTGTCCGAGGCACTTCAACATCTCCAGCCTGGATGGCACCACGCCTTCGCAACCTCCCAGCCCAGGCCCTGCTTCCACGCCTGAGCGACCTAAAACCTCAGGGAAAGTCCTCACAACCTTGGCGGAGAGCCCCAGGAAGAGCCCCCAGAGCCTCTGAAAGAAACTCCAAAACTTGGGTCCCTAGGCTTTCGACCCCTTCCTGGGGACCGCTTTTGCGTCGACCGCTTTCTAATGGCGCCAGGGCCCGTCGTCGTCGTCACCGCCGCCACCGCCACCCCCACCGCCTCCGCCGTCGTCGTCCTCCTCCTCCTCCTCCTCCTCCTCCTCCTCCTCCTCCTCCTCCTCCTCCCGGTACCCCTCCTCCAGGCGGCGGGTTGCTGAAGCGTGAGTCCTGCATGCATCAGAAGGAAGTCTTTAGCGATAGCGCGATTCTCAAATAAATCGTGAGAAAGTTTAGAACGAGATGCGAGAGGTAGCGAGAGGTACACGAGGGGTGACGCTTGGCCGAGTCCAGCCCCCCCTCACCCCCCTTCCCTCCCCCCCCCCTGCCTCGCCCCCTCCCTCCCCTGGCCCCGCCCGAGAGCCCCGGACGGGCGGCAGGCGCGCTGGGAGAGGGCGCCACCGCTCGCGCGGTGCGTGGCCGAGTTCCGGCCGCACTCGGCCACGCCGCGTGCGGACGGGGGCGGTGGCACGGGCCGCGGGCCCAACGCGGTCTGAGAGGGGCACGCGAGGGGCACGCGAGAGGTCCGCGAGGAACACGCGAAAGGTTCGCGAGGGATGCGCGAGGGGCTTCCGAAAGGTACGCGAAGGGTACGCGAGAAATACGCGAGGGGCACGCGAGGGGTACGCGAGGGGCACGCGAGGGGTACGCGAGGGGTACGCGAGGGGTACGCGAGGGGTACGCGAGGGCCACGCGAGATGTGCGCGAGGGAAACGCGAGAGCCACGCGTCGCCGATAGGTCGGCGATAGGCCCCCGACAGCAACACCTCACGCTCCTGGGCCGGGTGAGGGTATCGTGCCCCTATCGGCGATCAATGAGCGATTCTAGGGTCGATGCATCCCCCCGGAGCGTATCCCCCATAACGTTGCCCTATGATTGTTCGGCTCATCCCTCTGCTCTCTGGCGGCCGCTCGAAACGACGTTGGTATACCCTGGAACGCTCTCGGCGACGCGCAGCCAATGAAAGGCACCCCTTCGCTGGAAAACCGCCGCCACAAATCAACAAAAACGCTCGAAATCCTTACGCCACGAACCACCCCCCGGGCCTATCTTCCCCCCCAAACCCCGACGGCGTGATTTTTTCATGACGTCGACCCCAAGAGGTAGGTCTCGTCCCGTTCCCAGGGACCTGTTTTTTTATCCTGAATGTTAATTTCACCACCACCTCCTCCGTCTACCCCCATTATCCTTCTCTCTGCCTCTAACCGCGGTCTCCCTGAACGCCCCAGTCACGATTTGGAATGCTTCGGAGGGTGTCTTGGGGCTATCTTGGGCCGCCATGGGGCTCTCTTAGGGCCATCTTGGACCCGTGTTGTGCCGTTTTGGGGCTCTCTTGGATTGCCTGGAAGCCCTTTCGGATGGTTGCGGGGCGATTTGGGAGCCTCCCAGGCGGCTTCGGACGCCCAGGAGACCGCCGTCTTGGAGCGTCGGGAAGCCGAAAAGAGGAGAACCCCAAATGCACAAAACACCTGCATAAAATCAATGATGTTTCCCTCTTGGGGCCTTCTTGGGGGTGCTCTTGGAGGCCTCTTGGTACGTTTTAGAGCGATCTTTCGGGGTATGACGGTTTCTTGGAGCGCTCTTGTGCTGTCTTGGGGGTCTCTGGGACGTCTCCAGTGACCCCCATGGTCGCCCTGGGTGTGCTGCGAAGGCTTGGCAAAACGCCCTGCGAGGCCCGGAGGGCCGCTTCGAGGCCCGTCTGGAGGGTCCCAAAGCCCCAGATCCCGGGGACCCGGTTTTAGGGGGGGGGGACGCGTTTTCCCCCCGCCCGGGCTTATAAAAGTTATAGGAAGGGGAATACACACATAGATTCGCACCTGCCACGTGCAGTTGGCGCGGCCCCAGAAAACAGGGGAAGGCGGGGGAGCAGGGAAGGAAGGGGTGGGTGGAGCACGAAAGAGATTAGCAAGAGGGGGTCAGGAGCAGAAGAACAAGCGGCCGAACCAGACGGGCAGATCTGGCGGGCGTACCCCAACAAGCGGGCCGTGGGTGCGGGCCCAGACGGCCGAGTCGAGCGGGCGGGCCGCTGAAGCGTCAGTCCCTCAGGAATCGCGAGGATGTCTCGAGCGACAGCGCGATTCTCAAGTAAATCGCAAGAAAGGTCAAAGCGAGAGCGTGATCCCTGACCTGCCTCAATGCATTGCGAGGAAGTCCCACGCGAGAGCGCGATTTCTGAATAAATTGTAAGGAAGTCCCGCGCGAGAGCGCGATGCTGAATAGTCCCAAGTAGAAGCCGATTCCGATGTCGTTGTTGTAGTTCGGAGTCCAGGACCCAATCTAAGGCCCAAGACATTCCCTTGCCAAGAACAAAATGCGAACCCCAGGAGGCGCAATCCAACTTAAAAAGCACAACGGGCACCGGAGGGAGGGGCTCATCCAGAATTATTCCTTGGAAATGAAAATTCAACAAAAAGAATGGGCTGATAGTTTAAAATCTGCGTGCAGCCACGTGAACCACAGAGGGGATCCCCCGCGCCGACTGGACCCGCAGAGGCGGGGTTCCAGGCAGGCTCTCACGACGAAAGCCTCCTTTAAAGGACAGTGAGCTGCATAAACATAACTCCTCGTAGGTCCGCGCGGATTTCTTGGAACGGCGCTGGACCCACATCCATGGCGCGCGGAGCACGCCAGGGGCAACGCTGGAGGCGCTTCAAGGGGCGTCCAGCGCTGATCCAAGAAATCTGCGCGGAGATCCGAAAATGTATGTTTATGTGCCGTTTTTGTTCTTCGGCCCTGTGAACAGAAGCCTGATCGAGGGGGTCCGAGTAGATGAGGTCGCAGGATCGCGCCGCATTGCCAGTGAGTCGCCAATGCATCGGCAATGCATCGGCGATGCATCGGCGTAGAGAAAATCGGGCTCCACATCTCGCCGACTCGCCGATGCATCGGCAATGCGGCGCGATCCTCGACCCCATCCACTCAGACCCAGTCTGGGAGGCCTAGAACAGCACCATGGCACAAACAAAAGAGCAAACAATGAATGCTGAGAACTCTTTGCGGCGCATCTAGAAGGCCCATCTGGGAGGCCAAGCAAAAACGTCTGTCCTCTCGGAAGGCCGTCCCCCCCGCCCCATCGCGCCATCCCCCTCTCGGTGCGCGCCGGTCAGCCTGAACCTCCTCGCTCAGCCTCAGGCGGATGTCCTCCAGGTCGCGGTCCAGCCTCCCCAAGCAGCTGGCGTCTCGACAAGAAATCGAGACAAAATTTGTGTTCCGTCGTTTTCGGCCTATCGGAGCCCTTGCCGGGCATCGGGACCGTCAAAAAACGACTCGGGATGAAAAAACTGTCCCGAGCAAGTGGTCGGGAGGTCGGGGGCTCGTGGCTCGAAAAAATCGGGACGCTGGAAATCTGGGTCTAGCAGGTCCGACACTGGTACGGACAAGAATAAGCACGACGCGCGACAGCAAATGTTGTCCGAAACCGGGCAGGCCATCTTCCGTCGAAGACTGGCAGCGTCCGCGGCGACGCCGACAGCAAGTCCTGCTCAAAATGAGCAGGGACCGCTGTCGGTCCTCGCTCCCGTTCCTTCCATGCCCGGCTCGATCGTACCGAGGCCTGGCGCTCAGGCTGCCGATCTGGTCGTCCAGGGCCACGTAATCCGCGCTGGCCCGCTCCTGCGTGCCGACCGCCTGGCTCTCCCTGGCCTGCGCCTCGCGTGCCACCCGCCGGCGGAGGTCGGCAAACGTCTCGGCGAGGTCCGTCCTGAAGGCGGCGTGCTGCTTCGCGCGGTCGGCCACGAGACGCTCGAAGCCGTCACTGCGCTCCTTCTCGACCTCGACGATGCGGCTGATCTCCGCGTTGGTGTCGGCCAGGCAAGCCTCGTGCTCCCTCTCGATGATCGCCTCCAGCTCGCCGATGCCCTGGTTCGTGCTTGCGCACTTCTCCTTGAACTTGACGACGAAGGCGTCGCGAGTAGATCGCCACGCCTCCTTCCGCTGGTTGTACGTGGTGGTGAACTCCTGGTTGAACGCCTTCACAATCTCGTTCTGCTGCCTCGCCTCCTGGTCGGTCTTCGACTTCAGGGCGGCGAGCTTGTCCTTGACGAGCTGGCCGCGGGCGTCGTCGTCTGTGTTCTGGTTTGCCCGGTCCTGCCTGGCGTTCGCAAAGGCGGCGGTGGCGCGGTCGTGTTCTTGACTTAACGCCGCCCTTTTCTCGCAATCGTTCGGGTGAAGCGCGGCCTGTTTCGCGTGCAGTCGGTGCAGCTCGTGCTTTGTGAGCGGCTCGTATGCTCCTGGGTAGCCGAGCAATCGTGTAGTAGCAACTATGTCAATATCCTGCGGCATCACCGTGACGCTCTTGCGGGTGGCCTGCAT